GTGCACTTCGTCGATCTCCCTCTCCCTGTTCTGCTCCACTCTGTCTCTAGTGAAGCCTCCACCGCCCTGCACCTCTGGTCTTTACCCCAGTTCTGTATGCATAAATAAATAAATCTTTAAAAAAAAAACAGAATTCTCCACTACTGTCAACTGGGTCCCCTGTTTTCCCCCTGTGGCTCCCCCATTCCAACTCTGGTAATGCCTAAGTGTTTGATTGAGCTTTGTCTTTTCCTTTGACTTGTTTATATATTCCACATATGAGCAAAATCCTCTGGAATTTGTCTTGTTCCTTCTGATTTATTTCCATTTATCATAATCCACTTCAGTGCCATTCATATTGCTACAAATAGCAATATTTCTTCCCTCCTTCCTTTTCTCTCTGTTAATGTTTTTTTCTTTAATACTACTTCTTTCCTTCTAGAATATTCTTTACTCAGTTAACACTGGTTTACATTGTTTGCATTTAAAACTTTAGGATCCTTCTGTTGAGCTGCTGTTGTCACAGTCCATCTACCACCAAAGCACCTATATAGCCCACCATCATAGATCCAGGTACTTTCTCCCCTCATTGTTCTCCTCCCTCCCCTACACCACCCCCACCTCCCCCAGGTTGCCTTTATTCTATAGTCAGCTTTCAAGGGTTAGTATTTTACTTAGCTTTATCTGACCATGGGTCTTGGTGTACTATATTCCATATATAAGTGACATCATTTGATAATTTTTTTTTCCTTTTCACTAATTTAGCCAGGCATATCCCTTCCATTTACATCCTTGTTGCCATGAATTGTAAGAGTTTTGTCTTTTTTGATACCTGAATAACATTCCTGTGTGTGTGTGTGTGACATCTTTTGATACAATAATCTGCTTGGGGCTATAGGTTGTTTCCTAAGTTGGGAATTGAACATAGTGCTGCAATGAATATGGAGATGTAGTTTCCTTTCAAAATAGACTATTTTTGGGGGCATTCTTTGTGTAGATACCTAAGTAGGAATGAAATTGCTGGGTGATATGAGAGATCCATTTGTGATTTTCTGAGAAACCACCATACTGTTTTCCCTTGGGGTCGGGCCAGACTACATTCTCACCCACAATGAAGGATAGCTCTGTTTTCCCCACACCATCTCCATCACCTATTTTTTCAATATGGGCCACTGTCACAGTGTGAGATGATATCTCATTGTGGTTTCAATTTGCATTTCTCTGATCATAAATGATAAATGTTTTTAATTTGCATGTTGGTCACTTGTGTGTCTTCCTTGGGTATGTGTCCATTTAGTTCTTCTACTTATTTTAATTGGTTATTTATAATTAAATAATAATTTATAATTAATACTTTTCATATGTTAACACACTATGTTTTCCACTGCTTAAGTCCCTTGGCTGATGTATGGTGTCTACATATCTTCTCCATTCACTGGGGTATCTTTTTGTCTTGGTTATGATTTCTTTTTCTGTGCACAAGCTTTTTTAGTTTGATGTAGTCCCAATTGTTTATATCTCCTTTGTTTTTCTTGGTGCTGGAGATATTTTCACAAGAATATCCCTAAAGTATACATGTGAAGTGGTTTCCCAGTGTTTTGTTCTATGCATTTTACGGTTTCAGCTTTTATATCCAAATATTTTATCCATTTTGAGTTGAGTTTTGTGCATGATATGAGATAGTGATATAGTTTCATTATTTTACATATTGTTTTTTCCCATTATCACATATTGAAGAGATATTCCTTGCTCCATTGTATATTCTTGGTTCCTTTGATTTAGGTTAAGTGTCCAATAGGTGCAGGCTTAAATATGGGTACTCCATGCTATCCTACATTGTTTTATTATTGCTTTGTAGTGTAGTTCGAAGTCTGGGTGTTTGATATCATCACTCTCCTCTTCGTCAGAATTACTACGGCTACGGGGGGGGGTTATATGGTTCCATATGAACGTCAATAATATTTGTTCTATTTCACTAAAGAATGCCAAAATAAAGAAATTTTGATAGAGAACACATGTAATCTGTATATTGCTTTGGGAGGATGGCAAATTTGACAATATAGATTCCTTGGAATCCAAGAGCATGGAATACCTTTCCATTTATTTGTGTCTTTTATTTCTTTTAATACTTAACTATGGTGTATATTTTGTAGGTTCTTCTCATTCTTTGTTAGGTTCACTATTAGATATTTAATTTTGTGTGTGTGAGGGGGGTGTAATTGTGAATGGAATCAATTTTAAACTTTCTTCCTCTTCAAACTCACTGTTAGTATAAAAGAAGACAATTGATTTTTATGTATTGATTTTAAAACCCACCACTTTGCTGAACTGATTTATTATTTCAATTATTTTGTCAGTGGACTCTTTAGATTTCCCTATGTATATTATCATGTTGTCTGATGATAATAACATTTGCACTTCTTTTTTTTCCAATTATGACTTACTTTATATTCTTTTGTTACTTAATAGACCTACCAAGGACTTCCAGTACTATGTTGAACAGTAGTGATGAAAGTGAACAAACTTGACTTATACCATATTTTAATGGGAAATTGTACTACAATGAACAACCTTTGCAGTAGTTCAAAGATTCACTCCTAGAAATTTGGATCCTGTCCTTATACTAGCCATTTAACAAGATCTATAAATCAACTCAAAAATTAAAATACCTGGTTTATCAGGTGAGAAAATAATAAGAATCATGAGCAGCCATACACCAGAGACATTTTGTGTGGGTGGAGTGGGGAATGGGATCAAAAACAGGGGGGCGGGAGGGAAGTGCACGGGACTATGGTGATGGCCCATGGGTGACTTGGTGATGGGAAACCCACGGGGATTACAATCGAGATGAAAAAAAAAGTACAAAATGATGTAAAAATTATATTATAAAAAATGAAAATATTCAAATTAAAAAAAAATACCTGGTTTATAATGCTAGATCATGTTTGAAAATTTTCATAACTATTTAATTTAGCAATGTCACCCTCCTGAACATGGAGTTGGGAAGATGAGAAAACTGAATATTTAAATTACTGTTTTCATTTCATTCTGGCTGAGTTCTTCATTATGGCCCCTTCTTTCCTATTTGCTCCCCTTCCTTTTTATGTCTGCAACTGTATCTTCTCTCAATCCATTCTTCTTCACTGCCATGCATAACCACCATGGTATATAACCTTCTGCATGTCTATCCAAGTGTTTATAATGATATAAAACCTATAATAAAATATTCATTTATATGGGTGCACACAAATATGCACCCATGGAAAAATACATATACATGGAAAAATCCCACTCTTTTCTTACCAAAGAAATAGTATAAACATTCTTTCCTTCATTTTCTATTTCTGTCCCAGTAATGGATTGGGAAAATAATGCTAATGAAGAAAAATTCATTATGCATATTCACAACGTTTTTGTTGTGAATATTAAAAGTTTCTAGCATTTTACTCTTTTATAATTTGAAGGTAGGGCCTTCCTGGTGGTGGAAAGGGTAAAGCCCCAGCACTACTAAGCTATGACCAGCCACTCTGACATGAGTTTGATCCCCAAACAGGGAGGTGACCGTGGCACAGCAGACCACTCCTGTCTCTCTCCCTGTGACCCTCAGCAGTGACCATCAGTAGATCTTCCTGCTCCCTACTCTGTCTCTGGTGAAACCACTCACCTGCCACACCCCACCCCACCAAAACCCCCCACATGCACACCTCCGACCTAAAACCCAGCTCTTGCATTTATAAATAAAAGTAAAATGGAAAAATATAGTATCAGGGATATTATTTTTAAAAATCCTTAAAAGAACAAGCAAAAAAAGAGAAAGAAACAACCCTAATAAGTAGAAGTGTTGATTCTTAATACTCCAACAGGAAGTAAGTAACCTGAGTTTAGAGAGCCTTGAATGCTCTGATTTCTAGGCCCATTTTTCCTCTTTGTTAGGAACATCAGCTCCATCCATTTTAGCTGTCTGCTATCACAATAGTAGAATCCTATACTGTGCTGAAGACCATGTGAGTGAAAGGGTCTGATGCGTATTAAGAGTAGGGCAGTAGTCTTTCTTCTACTTAATCTTTCCCCTCCACATTTTCTACAGTGTTTCTATCTCTCTTCAGCACTGTATCTATCAAAAAATATCTAAAACACTTGTTTAAAATGAATTCAAAGACCTCCCCCTCCCCCACCACCACCATTGAGTTAAGTTCTGGGAATGAGGCTCAGGTATTTGCTTTTACCTCAAATCTTATGCATGGGCTCATCTACAATACCTAAACCAATTACTTCTCAGGAGAAAACCATTAAGAGGGGACTAGAACAGAAAAGATGGAAATGCAATAGGAAACATTAAAAAGAGTCACTACCGGCCTTCCCTGGTGGCGCAGCAGGTCAAAGCACAGCACTAGGAAGCTAAAGCAGCTTCAGCATGAGTTCGATCCCCAGCCCTGGAGGTGACCCACATGGCGCAGCAGACCTCTCCTCACCTGCCTGCTGCTCCCCTCAGCAGTGTACTTCGTTGATCTGCCTGTTCTGCTCCCCACTCTGTCTCTAGTAAATCCTCTCACTGCCCCTGCACCTCTGGCCTGTACCCCAGTTCTGTATGCATAAATAAATAAATCTTAAAAAAAAAGTC